TAGAAGGTAAAAATGCAGTGTTTGTATGTGGCTGGGTCCACTACCAAGGTGTCCATCTATGTAAGGTGTCCGTTAGCTGAGGTTCAACTGTACACTCCAGTGGTCAAGTCTGTCTATCATGGAAAACTATGATTATAATTCTGTCACAGACATCCATTGCAATATGAAAATATAAATACTGGCTATCAGTTTAGTTACCATCTGTAGAGGTAAGTACGAACAACTCAGACTGGCTCTGTTTTTTGCCTCCAGCACTTCGTGGAAACCAGTGTATATCAGTTGGGAAGATTTCTGCTGGTAATTTAATGACCTGTGATTAAGAAAGAAAAACAGAAGTCATTCTAAAAAAAGTGTAATACTTGAATTGATGCATCAGACGAAAAAAAACAGTCTAATCAACTCAAAATATAATGTGCATGTTTACCTGTGTGGTTTCATCTGATAACAAGTTCCATTTCAATATACTATGATCATCGCTGTCAGGTAGACACAAAAATATGACAGTCAACAAGGCAATTATATCACACTTCAGCTGTAAATAAGTTTACTGTAAATACATGTAGATAGACTCCAAACACTGAAACAATCACATACCGTAAATCCTCAAATTACCGCCCAGGGCGCTTATTTCAAATTTAGGAGAAGACGGGCCGCTTATTCGAGGGGTGGGTGGGGGGCTTATTTAATTTTTCCCAAATGGTGGCTTTTTTTTTTTTAAATCCATCATCTACGTGTAAACACCAACATAAGCTGTTTAATGACATAAAAAGCTGATCCTAAAGTTTAAATCGCGGCACCATTAGTACTTAACGTGTTCAATGTGTTCACTAAATGTGTTTACAAACTGAAACAAAGTACAAATCTAATACCACATTACGAAAACTATACATCCTTTGTTGTCTCAATACTCATCCACAAAATGGAGGGGCAGGGGAGGAGGGCGCTTATTCAAGGGGGCACTTATTTAAAATTTCGGCCGATAGGAGGGGCGCTTCTTCAAAGGGGGCTCTTATTCGAGGGGGGAGGGGGCGCTAATTACAGTAAAAGAAGTGTGCAACATTAATGCATATGTTGTGATTTCAATTTTACTCATGGTACAGTAATAGCATTTCACTTTATTCTGGTATAATTATATACTAGTTATGCAATGCTCTCATGCCATAGAAAATACAGTGGCCAGCACAGTCAAAACGACATATGCGTAGAGCATGTCATGTGAAGGTTGGACGTAATACTGTCAAATATACAGCGGCTTTCCTGTACTCTGATTGGCTGTATTTTCTATGGCATGGTATAAATAGTAATACATGAAAATACCAAGTAAAATTAAAAAACAAAACATAAACTGTAAAAGCAAACATCCTGTGTCCAGGATCAGATAACTTCTTCAGGGTGCAAAGGTGCACATGGTACCTTTTCTATGAGACAAGGACTTTCTTCGTATTACAAAATAAATCACGTCTTGGAGAGGGCACCACAAAATTACAGAGAACAATAATGCAGTTGACTGGGTAATAAATCCAACTAAGTCTAACATACCCGCTAGAGTACAGTTCGTCAGCAGTTGTCCAACCAACACAACTGACTAGATCTTTATCTGTTTTGACATTAGTCAAGAAGGTAACAACACCACAAAACAGGCAGTTATCTCACAAGACTGATTAAGCCCTTGATAAAGCCATGGTGTTATAGGAAACTTGACATCTTTTTGTTTAATTCCTGCTATTTATTGCTTGTACTGAACCAAACGATACGTTCAATTAAAGAAAGAGAACACAAAGTGCTTTAAGTTAAAACTCAATACCAAGCTCAATTCGTATAAATACAGAACTTTTAGACCAGGGTGAAACGTTCCAAAAACAGCTATAGCTACTCTTTACTTGACGTACTAACAGTTTAAACAAAAAAGATACGCTTGGATTCTTTGAGCATATGAGTCTTGAACCTCATATTTGATGTTTTTCAGCCGTCTTCCAACCCAGATGCAAATATGTTCGGGTCCTTGACGACTCGTGACCAAGGTAAACAACTTCGAATAAATATCGCTCAGAACTCACACATTTCCACAAAAGAGCGCTTCAGAGAGCCTTTATCGTTCCATGAAGGTAATGATGTCAATGAAGTAACCGCATGCGATGAAGGAAACAAAATTGATCCAACTTTTAACGTGAAAGACGTCGATATTTCCCGAGTAAAGTTTTTTTTGCCGCTCAAGAAATTTCCTGAGTAGCCTGGCATCATGACACGGAGAAAACTGGGGACGAATTCATTTGACACTTTCTCGGTCCAGTCTCTTCCCGGTCATTCTTTTTCATTGCTTTCTGCTTTTAATTTACAGATTTTATTCACCCCCATCCCCCCTCCTAATTGTTAATTAGTTACTTATTTTAAATTTAAATTTAGTTGTTACTTCTATTCCTAACGGTTACTTCTGAAGATGTATGTTGAAACATACGAAACGTCAAGTAAATGAACTTTGTTTTTTAACATGCGTTTTATTGCCATGTTTATCATGATCACCGCAGTTTGCGTTTTATTTCTTATCAAACTAAAATAAATAGCTTCAGGAGCCCATCACTAGGAGCATGCAACTGCCCCATATTNCAAAGTGGTGTAAACTTGAAGCGAAGAGAACGAACACAAATGGCGCCAAATTTAAGCACTGAATAACGGTCGTGTCACGTGACACGCATAAACGTTTTCTGTCCACATGGATTAGTAAGCTTATATTCAAGAAAGACCCTCGAATACTAAAATATTATTTTCCCAATTTTTTCCTATTTTTTGGCATTTTTTTAATTCTGCTCCATTCCTTAATTCACGTGCATCAAGTCTTTATTCCCCTACAAAGATAGGATCAACCGTTCCCAACTGTCAAAAGTTGGGACTGCCAGGGTTTCTACATTGGAAAAACAAAACGTAGATTGCATGACAGAAAAACTGAACATTTTAAATCGATCACGAGTATCTGTCATGCTTCTGCTATTGCAGACCACGTCACGTCAACTGGTCACAACTTCAAATGGGACCACTTTGATATATTAGTAAAAGGTCGGACAGATACACATTGCAAGATAAAAGAGACTCTGCTAATACGGGAATTAAAACCCACTCTAGTCTAAATGATAATGTAAGCAGCGAAAAGCTTTATCTTTATTAGTTTGCATTGTTTTTATGCAAATATTTCTCAGCTTTTGTCATTGTAATTGTTAATTAGTTACTTATTTTAATATACATTTAAATTTAGTTGTTACTTCTATTCCTAATGGTTACTTCTGAAGATGTATGTTGAAACACACGAAACGTCAAGTAAATGAACTTTGTTTTTTAGCATGCGTTTTATTGCAATGTTTAACACCGCAGTTTGCGTGTTATTTCTTATCAAACTAAAATAAATAGCTTCAGGAGCCCATCACTAGGAGCATGCAACTGCCCCATATTGCTGCCGCGGTGTTTTAAAAGACCGCTCCATTCTTAGTTAATGTTTGAATCAGTACCGTGAATTCAGGCCCCCGCGGGAACCTCACTGTCCAATCACAAGCACGGACTTAATTTTTGACTGACGTCATCATTCCACTGGAAG